ATTTTTCCTATATGTTTTTTTTTTCGGGGTAAAAATACTAATGATTTCATTACATGATCAGATGAGCGAAATGGCGTACACATCGGTCTAAAGGTTATACTATTTAATGATTTATACACATAATCATTGATATTTTTGTTTGTCGAATACTTATCTTTTTTATTAGTGTATTAAGATATTCTTGTATTTTTTACATGTGTGAACTCAAAATTGCCAAAAAAAAATTGAGCATTTTTTTGATTGATCTCTTCACAGGCTGCTTCGGATTGGCTTTTTGTATATCCAAAGGGAATTCATGATCTTTTGCTCTATGTCAAGTATAAATTCAAAGATCCAATCATCTACATAACAGAAAATGGTAAGCAATTGTTTGATTAATGAGAAGTTAATTTGATTAACTTGTAATTCTTAATGGATTAATTTACAGGAGTTGATGAAGCTAGTTCTAACGAGATATTTCTTGAGGACGAGTATAGAATAGATTACTATAACAGTCATCTTCAAATGATTCGAAATGCCATAAAGTAAGTGTAAAGATTGAACTTTTCTAGACAAAAAATAAAATATTCATGAATAACTCTTTTTTTTAAAGGAGGGGAGTCAATGTGAAGGGGTTCTTTGCATGGTCATTGTTAGACAATTTCGAGTGGAGAGACGGCTACACAGTTCGTTTTGGGTTAATTTATGTAGATTACAAGAACAACTTGAAGCGACTTTTGAAGAAATCTGCAAAATGGTTCAAGAAATTCTTAGAAGAATGACATAAAAATGTTACATATATTTTATGAGAAATATTTTAAAGTTCTATAAAATATATATAATCATTGCAATATTATAATGGTGGGTGGTTAGGAGAAAAGCCCACAACAATTTTTAAATATATGAATTTCGAATAAAGAGATCAAACTTTATTCCACTAGCAAAATATTTCATATCATTAAATACAAAGATCTAAATAGATTAAACTATTATTTACAAATACTTTAAATAAAAAAAATATGTAATTGCTATTGACTAAGATGATTTTAAATATTCTAAACATTAATTCAACGTATATTAATAAATTATATATATATATGGACCAGCCATGTATCGCCATTCAAAATCAATCAGGTCATAACCCTTTCGAATTCAATTAATATCCATTCGATCCCTTTTTACTTATAGAAGTACATCTTGGACATCTTAGTTTACTAATATTTATTTTTATATACTTAAAAAATAAATATATATTAGAATGTTAGAATTTGAATATTATTATTAAATTTATATTTCAATTTAATAATAAATTACAAAAAAGGAAACTTTTCTTTATAAAATTATGGAATGGAATATTTAAAAGAAAAAGATTTTGATAAAAAAAAATATTTATTTAATGGATTAGTAATAAATAATAATGATTACAAATTAAATTAATAAAATAATTTTGATCTCACAAAATCTCATACCGATCACCCAATCAAATTAAATAAAATAAAATAAAATAAAATTAAACCGTTTGACGAGAAACCATAAATCAAATCATTGTGTCTTAAAGTTTTGCTGGTGACGTGTCAATTACGTCATTCATCAATCTTAATTGGTTGAATTTCCAATTTTGCCCCGACACGGTTTTCTCGCTTATTCTCTCTTCTTTATTCCCTCCTCCTCTGTACCCCCTGCACTTTACTCTCAGTTTCTTTCATTTCTTTCTTCCTCTCCTTCCTCTTCTTCATCCTCTTCTTCAACCTTCAAATCCTGAGTTTCTTCGGTCATCATTTCGGTAAGTCTCCGATTCTTTTATCTTCGTCCTTTTTTATTCTCTCTTCTGTTTCTTCTTTTTTCTCTGTTTTGTTTTCAAGATCTATCGCTAGTTTCATGCTTTTTGGTGCTTAAGATTCTGGTATAGCAAACAAATCATCATCAGAACTCAACTGGATTTCGTGAAAACTTATAAGTGTATGTGTTATTGTTACGAGTTCTATATATGCCGTAGTTTCTATTTTTAGACCATGTTCTGGATTCGATCTCATGGTCTTCTGTTTATGTGATTGTTTGAGTAAATTTTGCTTACTGCTCTACACGTGATTAATTGTTCAAGTAGTAGATAGTTGTTTATGGAGTAAATCTCTTCGAGAAATAGAGGATCTGATGATGATTGACCCTAGGATTGAGGCGGGAGAAAGGAGTCAAGCTAGTAAAACTGGAAATGAAATATTCTGTGATAGATCTGTTTATGGAAAAATTTCAGGATTTTCTAAGGCGTTGACTTTGTAGAGGATTAGGAAGTGTTGGGAGTCGACTGATATGAAGTGGAAGATTTTAGAAATCGTAAAGAGAAAAAGTAACTGTTCTGGATTTTAGTTTATATGATGAGTAAATTGGTACGGATTGTTTGCTGGGGGATGTACTGCTAGCTCTCTTGCTCTCTTCTATTCTGGTAGCCATTAAAAGGGCATGTGTTATGGTTTAAGAAAGCATCCACAAGGGGTTGGTTGTTGTTTCTGTTTATTTTTGATAATTCTTGAAGGTTTTAGTAAGTTTTGAAGTGAACATCTGAAAGCACCACACAGGATGCAGGTATCATTCGGTCAATAAGCCCTTGGGTTGGTTTACAGTACCATCATGCCAACAGGCCTGTGATAGTGATTGTAGTGCTTTGAGATGAAAATATCTGGGTGAAAGTGCCTAATAAATTAGGAAGATTTTCAAGGTCCCGTTTTTGTTAAGAAGTTCTTTTTCGGCTGTATTTGAGGAAACTTAATTCAAAAATGGGATGATCCTTTTTTAGATTTTTTTTTTTTTTTACTTTTTTAAAAATTTATATTCTAAAATTATTATGAATATTAGAATATTCTTTAAAATTTGAAGATTTTCACCAAGCTATTGGAAGCAAGTTGGGCCTATGGGTTAAATAATCCATTTCTTTAAACTCTCCTTAGTGTGAAACTATTGATTGTAGAAAATTACTCAAACTTTTTAGTAAAAAAAATACTCAAATCTTTTGGTTATAATCCAACATATTTCTTCCTATGGAAACCCATAAGATTGAAAATTTGATTGAAAGGAACTAGGTGGTAGCTATGATTTAAACTCCCCTTTTCACGCTAGAAGCGCGGATAGGCAGCAGACTTAATTTATTATTTATACTTCATCACTCAATATTTGTAAGTTGGTTCAATTTAAAAATTCGTGTGAAATTGGGTGCCATAAGTGACTTTTTAAGATTTCACGCTTTTTCATTCGCTACTTTGCGAGACTTAAGAAGATAAAATTAATGGATTGATTGAAAAGATTTGAATTCTAATCTTAGACATATTCAAGTTTAGATGATGAGAGAGAATAAAGCAAGCAAAATCAAGGGAACATGGTGGTTGTTAGGTAGAAAAAAATAGGAATGCTGGTTTTCTTAAATTGTGGTTAAGAACTGAACACGTGGCAATTGTATATACTAATAGTGGAGGAGAATGAATTTGGTGGAATTTTTAGAAACCAAGGCTGTTCTCAGATCCGAATTTTCTAATTTTCTATCGACATCATATATAGTTTTGCGGAAATCTATTGAAAAGTTTTCCGAGAATATAGATTGTACATATAAACATGAATGCATAAGACACTGCCATCGGTATGTTAAATTTCGTATTGGATTGATTGTGGCGGTTGATTTAGAATTGCGGTTGCATCAAACATTTTGAATCTGCTTGCATAAAGGTGAGTTTTTCATAACAATTAGACCCAGTTCCTTTTTTTTTAAATTGGAGTAGCATATGCAGAAGAAACTATATGTATATAATATGGGGCAATGGTTATTTGATTATATTGGTTAGGTATTAACAAATTATCAATTAACACATGATTTATATCTGATCATGATTTCACAAATTGATAATTTGATATCATGGATCTTGCTGCTTGAAATTTCCCATCTTGTGATGTTATAACTGTTATTCATGAGCTTCTCTTCACCTTTGACAATCCGAGATGTTAGATAGAACTGGACCAAGACCGTGAGAAAAATATATTATTAGGAGAAGAAAGATGGAAACAACAAAGGAGGACTAAATATCCTCCCAAAAAGAGAAAAGAAAGACAGGAACGGAGAAGGCCCGAGTATTTCTTAATCTCTCTCCAAAGCAAACATGCATTTAACTCAGAAATGCAAAAATACAGAGTCTAACCCGGGGGGAGGAAAAGTATTCCTAAAATCCTGGCATTTCTCTTAAGCCATAACACTTACAACTGAGCAAAAAGAGACCCATACCCATACAAACTTATCGTCCTTATCCCTACCAACACCATAGAAAGCTGAGGAAATGAAGGATTTGAGGTGTGAAGAAGAGACCCAAGAAACACCGAAGTTTCAAGTAAGTGGGTCCGTAGTCTCCAAGGCATAACACAATGCAGGAAAAAAGTCGCTATTAGAGTCATGTTCTGAAGCATATTAAACATCCCATGAGATAAAGTACGATTTTTGCCTTGTGAGTTTGGTCATTATTATCTTTTTGAAATTAAATGTGCATATTCAAGAGCACCAAGGGAATACAATTCACATACTAAGTGATGTAAGACAATTAGGGTTGATTAATCCAATTAGTGATTTGGAGATAAAAATCTAGACATCACACCTAATGATTATGTCACAACCAGAAATTAAGAAACTCTCAGAATTTATTATTTATTTGAATGCTCCAATTAATAAAATTACAAACTAATTCTAATAAGAATAATTTTTGAGACAGAAAGTATGGTTTGATTCATTCATTCACAAATACAAAGGAAGCGCTAATACATTGTAAAAAATATTTACATGTCAATCAAAATATTAATAATATCCTCAAAATTCTCTTTCACCCATAATAAAAAATATAGGATCTTGAACCATCTATCTTTGACTCTATCAAATTCGTCTTCCTACCCTCCAAAAACTTTCATGTTTTTCTTTTCAACATTACCCGAAAGATAGCAAGGTAATGAGACTCATATGTTTCCTCTCTCTAGTAATACCCTCCAAGCCTAAAACTATTCTCTCACCGAGCCAGCCATCGTCAAACTTTTTTG